AAAGAGTGGAGCTCAAACTTTTTCAGCGGATCCGGGTGGTACAAAAGGAAGATCCTCAACTCATAAAAATTCTTGGGTAGATGAAGTTAGAAGGAAAGGAGGATTTTTCTATGGACAATGATGAAATGCAGAGATTTAAGGGTCGGATATGCGTTCCTAATGACGAGGATATTAAAAGAGCTATTTTGGAAGAACCTCACCACTCCCGTTATACGGTGCATCCTGAGAGTACAAAAATGTATTAGAATTTGAAGAAGATTGTCTGGTGGAACAATACGAAGAGAGAAGTAGAACAATTTGTTTCCAAGTGCTTGACATGTCAGTAAGTGAAGGCTGAATATCAAAAACCTACTGGACAGTTACAACCCTTACTTGTGCCAGAGTCGAAGTGGGAGCATATAACTATGGACTTTGTGTCTGGCCGACCTATATTAGGTTCGGGACATGATAGCATTTGGTACATTGTGGATCGACTAACTAAAGCCGCTCCTGTCCGCACAACCTATACTCTGGATAAGCTGGCTCAACTTTACATTAAAGAGATAGTAAGACTGCATGGGGTACCTAATAGTATTGTGTCCGACAGGGACTCTAGATTACTTCAAGGTTTTGGAACAGTCTACAGCCGGCCTTGGGGATTAAACTCACTTTCTGCACTGCTTTCCACCCTCAGACTGATGGACAGTCGGAAAGAACTATTCAGACGATGGATGATATGTTGAGGGCCTGTGTTATAAATTTCAAAGGAAATTGGAATAATCATCTGCCTTTGATAGAGTTTGCTTATAACAACAGTTTCCAGGCCAGCATTCAAATGGCACCTTTTAAGGCACTGTATGGGAGGAGGTGTAGATCACCCATATGCTAGGACGAAGTCGGTGAAAGGAGACTATTAGGGCCAAAGATTGTTCAGAAAAGATTGCTTTAATTCGAGAAAGGCTCAAACCAGCTCAGAGTTCGTAGAAGAGTTATGCCGACAATTGGAGAAGAGATCTTGAATTTGAAGTAGGTGATAGGGTCTTTTTGGAAGTATCGCGAACTAAGGGCATTTTGCGGTTTGGCAAAAAATATAAACTGTATCCACGATTTATTGGACCCTTTGAAATTTTAGAAAGGATTGGAGTCATGGCATACCAACTAGCCCTACTGCCCGAGTTAGCCAATATTCATGATGTTTTTCATGTGTCCTTGTTAAGGAAGTCTCACCCTGACCTGTCCCATCTTTCAAAGTATGAACCGATCTTGATCAGGGAAGATTTGACTTACATTGAACAACCAATTGAGATTTTGGATAGGAGAGTTTCGGTTTTTCGCAATAAAGAGATTTCCCTGGTCCGGGTTCTATGGTAGTATCATTCACAAGAAGAATCAACATGAGAACGAGAAGATGAAATCTGGGATAAATACCCCCATCTGGTTAACTATCTAAGTTACGATTTTGAGTACAAAAGGGCAACACTGTTTGTGAAGAGAGAGGGGCAGCGCCAACTGTGAAGCGAGATGGGTAACGCCATTTGTGAAGAGAGATGGGCAGTGCCGGCTGTGAAGAGAGAAGGGCAACGCCATTTGTGAAGATAGAGGGCCAGTATCGGCTGTGAAGAGAGAAGGGCAACACTGTCTGTGAAGAGAGAGGGGCAGTGCCAATTGAGTAGAGAGAAGGGCAATGCTGTCTGTGAAGAGAAAGGGGCAGTGCCGTCTGTGAAGAGAGAAGGAAGAGTAACGCCGCACGCTAAAAGAGAAAGAAGAGCAACGCCGTGTGTGATACTACTGTGCATGAATAAAATTGCCACCTACCAGATACAAGCTACCACACATGCCACTTATCCTTGTGGATGTGTGGTACTTGCCACTTGTCCAACTATGGCTGCCAGCGAGCCAACAAGTACTTAAGCCTCTCACACTCACTCTCACGCCATTTTCATTTTCCTCTCTCTCTCTCTGAGAGACAACACTTAGATCCTTTGGAAGCTCACTAATACCTCACTGTTAGAGCCTTGGTAAGGAGCTTGAGGAGGACTGTGTAAGGGGATTTGAGGACACCATTGCTGAGTAGGTAAATGGATCAACTCACCATTCTATTCACACTTGAGGAGTACGAAATTAGAGGTAGAAATGGATAAATGTTAAGGAAAAACATATTGATTCTATAGTACTTATGCTTTACTTCATGGTGGATTTTAATACTGAATATGATTCCTCTACCTGTGAAAAATTTGTGGAAGAGTATTCTTCCATCTCTAAACTGAAGTGAAAGGAATTTCATGTGACTATCTTTTATGGTTGAAAGTTATTAAGTGTCTCATGAAGCATGCCCTGTGATACTGTAAATTTTTAGGAACTTACATGTTTTTATATTAAGTATTTGAATAGTCAAATGAGGTCCAAAAGGCGTCAAATCACTGCCATTAGAAAGATGTATGAGTCTACTACCATCTTCATATTTAACCATTTAAGATTCTTAATGAATGAGAAGTTATGCCCTAAAATGTACAGACATGTCACTATTAACACATTGTACTGAATTTCTAAATATCACTACTGTTGCCATTGGTTTTAACTAATCAAATGAAGTCCATTTTCTTTCAAACCACCGCCATTTGAAATATCTCTGAGCAGGCGTAAATTTGTATGTGAGAAATTATTTCGGAATTCCTTTTAAATTGAAATTTATGTAATTATTAATGAAGGCATGCCATTGAGAAGCATCACTTTAGTTGTCATGGACTTTTGAATGAACAAATGGAGTCCAATCGCTTTCAAACTATCCTTGTTGGAAAGATATGTATTTTTATTCAAACTTTTGTTTTCAAACCATTTTAAAATATCCTATGGATTGAAAGTTATAGCAGTGCTAAATGAGGCATGTTGGACAGCAGGGCACAGATAGCGAACCACCATTGCTTTGAACTTTTGAAGGGACAAGCGGGATCCAAAGTCTTTCAAAGCACTTCCATTTGAAATATATGTGTGCCTAGTATAAAAATGGTTTTGAAACTGTCTCTAAATTCCAAATAGATCAAAAGTTATGACCATCTTTATGGTTGGACATAACTGTCTGAAATGGCAGGAAATGTGAATTGTGATACTAAAAATGAGATACTGCTACTGTCATACTGTGATATTGCTACTACCATATTGTAATACTGCTAATGCTATACTGTGATACTGCTTCTGTCATACTGAGATATTGATATTGTCATAATGTGACATTGATACTATGATACTGTAATATTGATATTGTGATACTCTAATATTAATACTGTGATACTGGAAATGTGATAACGTGATACTGAGATATTGATGTGATACTTATTACTACACAATGAGGCACCCATTGGTAGTGGGTACTGTTATACTGCTATGATACTGATACTGTAAGCTATTGTGATACTGGCCACTACGCAATAGGACACCCATTGGTAGTGGGGACTGTTATACTGCGACACACTGTGAGGGGGTATGAAAGGGAGAGAAATAGGTAGATGGGTGAGAGAAAGTACCTCGAGAGATGAGGTGAATGAGAGAGATGGGAGGAGGGCCTCTCAACAATGAGAAGATACATGGATTAAAGAGGGGTAGAGAGAGGGAGATAGACGGGCAGATGAAAGACATAAGTGATGCCAAGTGGGTATTTTTGTTTATGAATTAATGTCATTTTTCATCATTCGTACAGAAAGATTAAAATACCTTTTTAATTTTCTTTTTTAAAAAAAATTTTAAAGTGATCACAATTAATCTTGACCATTTGAATGGTCAGAGATTATATATGCTAAGCGGTGTGTTGTATAAGCTTTTCTTTTTTCGATTGGTAATTGTCCCTACAAACCAAATGAGCCCTCTCTAGCTTTTCGCCACATGTATTTCTAGGTGAATTGTCGACATCAGGCTCCTTAGCCTCCGATGCCCCAGCCCCATTGTGCCATGTCATCCAAGTGATATTATATGATGGTGAATGTTGCACATGTAATTTTAGGGTTGATAAGGACTGGAAGAGGAGAGTGTGTATAAGCAGGCCGATTTTGTGGATATGGGGAAAGGGAGAGAGTCAATGCCGTCATGGGAAGAGAATAAGGAGCAATTGGCAACGGCAACAGACACCAAGTGGAGACCGTCTCGTGTGGCCATGCGGATAAACCGACACATCAGCAAAAATTGAATGGACATGGTTTCTATACGGCCAACCCGCATAGGGCAGAAATGCGGGCGTGACAGTAAATAATTTTTTAAATATAATTTAATTTTAATTTTTAAAGAATATATAACTTTTAATATGAAAATCATGAATATAAAAATAAAAAATAAAAAAAATAATAATTATATTAAAAAAATATTTAAACGTCAATTGTTTTTAAATGGAATACTTATTTGTATCTATTTTTAAAATGAAAGCTTTATACCTCTAGATTGCATAAGGTAAAAATGCGATCCAACGCCGTATGAAACATAACTTTTTTAAATTAAATATAAAATGCTTTTCTTACAATCTGAATTTAATTTTTTCGTCACAACAAATATATATATATATATATATCTATATATATATATATATATA